AGGCTGGCCTTGAGTTTGGGAGGCTCCTGCCTCAGCCTCCCCGGTGGCTGGGACCACAGATGTGCATCTCCGCTCCTGGCTGCCTCATAGTTTTGGAGGCTCAAGTTCAAATCAGAGAAATTAGATTCATATGTTTTGGAAAGATGAGCGATGCACAAGGTTTCTGGAGTCGGGTTGCATTGGCCTGGAAATCAGACATTTGAACACAGTCTTCCTTCAGCCAGGTCTTGGCTTACTGGGAACGTTCTCCAAAGAGTGTTTTCCTATTCCTTTCTCTCATCCTCCTCAAGATACTGTTTATTGAAACCAAACGGCACTGTTACAAGAACATTACATGTGTTAGTTCTTTTACCTTTAAATATTTAGTAACCCTGTAAAGTAGGAATGGATGTTATTACCATTTTACAGATGAGGAAACAAAGGCATGGAGAAGGAGAGTCACCTGGCCCACCAGCAAGCTGAGCTGCAAAAACCAGTGGTCTGGTCCCAGGGTTTGTGTTCCTAGGTTCTAAGCGTTACTGTTCCTCATGTAATCAACACAGCAATGACAACAATAGGGTTCCCATAAATGCCAGCAAAGCGCTTTTTATGGTTCCTTGGCATGTGGTAGGTGATGTGTTAATACTACTCACCTTTTTTCCTCTTCTTCCTTTGACTTGTTATTTTGCAATGTAGATGTTACTTGGGAATCATCGATATTGCTATGTTTGTTCAGATTTTATGTGAAACATTGCAATTGGTTAGTTCTTGAAAATTTCTCTTGCTAGATTGAGAAATGCTCCCAAAGAGAAAACTTTCTTGAAAAGAAGACAGTTTCCAACCGTGCTACAGTATTTCATTTGATCTCTAGTGACACGGGGACGTGAGTACAGAGGTGTTAATAGGCTCTTCTTTAGGAATCTTGACTTCATTTTGAATTTGTAAAAGTGCCATCATCATCATTTTGTCTCTAATTATATTTTAGGGAAGCAAGATTTTTGGGAAGTCACAAGATTTTGGTAGTAACTCAGGTTTATTGGAAATTAGACTTGGAATGCTTTTGGAGATGCAGACTGTTAGAACTGGGATTTGATTTTTCCCAATTTACAAATGAATAACTGAGCCTATTATTGGTTCCTGGATGGTTCCACCCAACAAAAATTCCTGTGTCAGAGATAAAGGACTTTATTGCTCACGGCAGAGCAGGCAGCCTGAGCATCACCATGTGTGCTTGGTTCTCTTTGCCTTGAAGTCCTGTGGGGACAATGTGATCTGACCCAGGTGACGGCTACCCAGGCACCCACTGAGCTTGGGAGTCCACCACTTTTAGAGAAAGTAAGTAGGGCTGTTTCTTGTCCCCAGAGAGGTAGCACCTCATCTCTCAAAGTTACCAGAAGAATAAGCAATCCTGAGAAATGGCCTGGGGCAAAGACCAGACAGTGATGAGGAAACCTTTCATAAAGACTGGATAATTGTCAAAGTGGTCATTGGTGAAGGTTGGAAAAACAATGAAGGAACTTGGATAGCCCCTGGGTAATGGGAACCAGCATCCTATAGTGGCATGATGATTTGCAAGATTGTTGTCTGTAATAACTTGGAAGATGGCAAATGTTTCCAATACGCTTTTCATTTGGCTAAAGAAATCACCAGGCAGAATGTTGGCAGTGTTAGTTCACTGGTCCTAAGTGCATACGATGGGGGAATCAGAAGACGGAGAGGAGGCAAGAAGCAGTGGTTTAATTTGAAAGTAGAAATTGGAGAAAAAAATAAAGGATCCAAGATTTGCTGGGTTGGAAAATAAAATTGTGTATCATCCTTGATTTCCACAGGCAATGAGATTCCCCAAGTGAAATGAAGCTTGGGGCCAAATCTCAAATAAAGGAATAATAGCTGCAACATCAAATTTAAGATCCCGGGAAGATTCAAGACAGTGTGCTAGATTCTCTCAGTAGACAAAAGGGTATTGCCCACACTACCTGACTTATGACCCAAAGTAGGAAGAGACCTGTCTCAAAAAGAATTACCAATGTCACTTTGCCCCCACTAATTAAGGTGATAGCAGAGTCACAGGAAGTCCACAAAAATTTCAAGGGAGTTTTACCAGCAAAAGTACTGGTAAGGTTAAAAAAAAAAAGTTTAAACTGAAAAGTGACCTCTGGGATCCTTATTCTCATTTAGGCAGGAGCAGACAGAGGAAGCTCCTCAAATTCAAAATGGGTCATTTCTTCTAGAAAAGAAAAATTGCCTCAGAGAGGGAGCTAAGGGCCCAGAGTTAGAGTCAAGAGCCACCTGGAGAAACTGAGCAGCAATGAACTCTGATGGAAACCCTCCCAGCTTCCAGTTGAGGGGGGTCTGGCAACAGGCACCCAGCTGTGTTTCAGAGCTGCCCTGGGAAAGTGGTGTGCATGCTCCTCTCATTTTACCTGTCTGAATAAGATATTGATCGTGGCTCTCCTGCCTTACACACCTTGTAGGTGTGGGGTGGAAACCTTGACTTTTATTATGTAGGTATCCAGACTGTGGGGAGCTCGCCCCAGGAAGTGTACTGAAGGAGCCTCATTTCAACCTGGTGCAGATGAGGAAACCTCAGACTTGCAGAGAATACCACAGTTGGAGGAGACACTTGGAGCTCCAGGGGTGGGATGAGGGTACTTTGCCTGTGAGGGGAAAGTAAATGCTGGTGATCAGGTGGACGGTGATGTAGACTGAGAAAGAGTAGCCATGGTATTTTCCTGACTCTCCCATCAAGAGGTGGATATATGAATGTACGACAGTGAATTCCACCTTCATGTAAAGCTATCAAGCATAATTTAAAAAACTATAAATAAATAGAAGAAAGACCAGCAGAGGAGTGGAAGGGGAACAGGGGGAGGGTAGAGGGGACGTACTGGGGCCTGAAGTGGAGCAATTGCATTCTGTGCTTGTATGATTATGTCAAGATGACCCAACATTGTGTAAAACATAATGCACACACAAAAAAGTCGAGTTCATCCTCCCTTGCCATGCCCTGTCCCTTTCATGTAGACTGGATTTGTGTAACACAGCTGTGGTGATGTTATATTCCTCCTTTTTGGGCCTCAGGAGACATCATGGTCCCTGCCTCTGCTCTTGGATTGCTGTCCTAATGTGAGAAGTGAATGCACAACAGAAACCACTTGGTTTAAGCCACCAAATTTTGGTGTGGTTTGTTATGGCCCCAAAGTAACTAATACAAGCTCTTGATGCAGATTCGTCACAGGCGTGATATCTGTTTAGAAAAGTCTCCCAACTCTAACAGTGGTCCACTTTGTGCTTTGAATAGCCCTTGCTGCTTTGCCACTGAGACTTATTTTTAAAATGGACGTGTTTCCTTGTCTTCCTCTCTCCCTCCACCTCCTTAATCTTCTCCCCCTCCCTAACCTTAGGGGAACAGGACTACCCTTCTTCCCCATCCCAGGCAGTTATCTGTTCTTGAGCACACACCCCTCCCAGGAATGAAGTAATTCAGACTTGGAAATGGCAGCAGAAGATCTAAGAAATGACTATCTCCCAAATTAACAAATGGGTTGTGACTCCCAACATAGAATGTAGCCTTTGAGTCACCTCTTTAGAAGCTCCCTGTTCTCCCTGATTGGCAGAATCACAGCTTTTGGGACAGGAGTCCCCTTTGTTTCTCCTTTGCTAGCAAAGCAATAAAACTTCATTTTTCTTTTTCTCAAAACTGTGTCCTTGATGGGCACAGTGGCCCACGCCTGTAATCCCTGAAATTTAGGAGGCTGAGTCAGGAGGATGGCACGTTTAAGACCAGCCTCAACAATTAGCAAAGTCCTAAGCAATTAGCAAGACCTGTCTCAAAATAAAACAAATAAAGAAAGGGCAGGGAATGTGGCTGAGTGATTGGGTTTAATCCCCAGCATTAGAAATAGCTGGTGGCACAAGGGATCAAACACATGCTCGGAAGCAGTTCTGCAAAACAGACTTTACTTTTGGAGAAGTGCTACCTCACAAAACCTGGGGAGCAGCACATTTGGGCAAGCAGTTCATCTGCTTTCATCCCTAAGGCCCCACTGCCACTTGCTCGGATTGGAGGTTGCAGTCTACAGTGACTGGCTAATTTTAAAGTGGGGGGATTGTGGCAAAGGGAAGGGCTATAGTTAAAATGGCTACGAATGGATACAGAATGGGAAGCTCAGAATGGCTACGATTGGTTCTTACATCCCAGTTAAGGCTACATACTCTATTTCTCTCACATTGGTACCAAAAAAAAAAAAAAGTGTCCTCCTTATTGGATTGGCATTGGGGACAAGGACTGAACTTTTGATAACACAACTACTTTGGAAATCTGAGGTAGTGTCATTAAAAGCTGGCTACTTAGATATTATTTAGAAGCTTTGCTTCTAGATATAAACACTATAAATATGAACATGTTCTCCCCAAAACACAGGTAAAATAACGTCTATAGCAACATATTTGTAATAGTATCAAATTCCATCAGTGGTAGAATACATAAATCCATTGTGATATACAACATACAGGACAAAAATGAGAAATGACTCCTCTAAGAACTACATAGATAAATCTGAAACATAATATCCAGTAAAAAACAAAAGGCAAAGGCAAAGGCTAAAGAAAACTATTGTATCACTAGCATTCACAACAGTGGGTATCTTTGCAAGGAAGGACACAGTAGTGACTAGGAAGTGGCCTGTGTCGTCTTCTGGACAGTGGGGAGGTTATGGGTCAGGGTTACAAATGTGCTCATTTTGTGATAACCTTTCAATTTTAAACTTATTACATGTGTACTTATCTGTATGTCTCATGTACTTAAATAGAAGCATTTCTTTCTTTTCTTTTTTTCTTTTAAAGAGGAATTCCAAAAGGAGTTTGAGAAAGTAGAAGTTAGGGATCTCCCACCCCCCAAATCTGGGGTGCTCCAATGTATGCACCACAGTGTCTGCAGGAGAAAATTCACTTTTGTTTTGTCAAATATTTTCTGTGACAGCTCTGATCACCCTTTGACAAACTTTTCTCTCTTGAATCTTGTTTTTATTTCAATAATATTTATCAACCATGATTAGTATTGTTTAATAGTTTTTATATTATGAATTTCAGGAGAAGAAAACACATGTGTCACAGATAATTTTGTATTGAATCATCTTGCAGCCAGAGAAAAAAGTGGTGGGAGGAAACTGCAGAAGATGAAGAGGAAATAGGCTGGAGTCTGATTATGAAATAGCTTGAAGGTATGCAGGATTTCACACTATACTTTTATGCAACAGTTTAAAAAAAAGCACATAATCTATCTGTATTTTACAAAGATAATGAGATATCCCTACTTAAAATGGCATAATAAGAGAGTTCTTCTCTGGTCTCTAAAAATGTATACAAGCAAAAATAGAAAGAGTTGGGTGTGGTGGTCAACACTTGTAATCTCAGGGAGTAGGGAGGCTCTGGCAGGAAGATCCCAAATTCAAGGCCAGCCTCAGCAACTTAACATGACTCAGCAACTTAGAGAGACCCTGTCTCAAAAAAACAAAACAAAACAAAACAAAAGCAAACAACAACAGCAACAAACAGGGAATGCAAATGTAGCTCAATCCCCCATCCACCACACAAAAGGAAAAGAAAAGGAAACTGCATATTTAAATAAACCAGGGACAGCTATAATGCAGAGCTACACAATATGAGGCAGGGTGGCTAAATTCAGTGCTGGTGAAATATGGGCTAGGATGTCAAGGGAGTTTTGAGATTTCTCAGAATGTCAGCAGAGCAAAACCAGAGATGCCTCATTTGGAACAAAGGGAAACGCCCTCCATATTTGCAGGAAGCAGTTTGCCAGTGAAGAGGAATGGCAGAGGGAAGTTCTGAGTTACAGGCACGACCCAAGTCACAGTCTGAGCGGCCTGGGAGGAGAAATAGACACTGAAACTAGCAAACAAGCTAGAAAACCTCAAGGCCCTGGGTCAAGGGACCATCACTAAACTGGATACTCTGGAAGTCTCCCATGACACTTCTTCAGTCATATATTATCAGAAGAACTGGAGCATTCAACACTGACTAAAGCCCAAATCAGTAATTTGTAACTTCTTACTTGTCACACTTTGTAGTAAACAGTCACCGTAATTGGACAATGGTACTAGAAGAACAAGGGAAGGAGGAAAATAAAGAGTGGGTTAAAAAAAAAAAAAAAACTCTCATTAGAAAAAGTCACCTCAGAGCAACTGATAATTGTGACCAAACCCCACCATTAAGAAACTGAAAAAGAAAATGAATTACTGCTTGATTCAAGTGTGTGTGTCTAAAACAGGAGCTCAAAGAAAAGATACAGAAGTTTCAAGAAAAATACAGTAGGGCAACCAGGGAAGAAACAAACTATCAGATTAAAGGGATAGAGAATAAAATAAATAGTTACTGTTAAAGAAAGAAAAGCCTCATAGTAGCTCAAGGAGTATATGGTCAGCATGCTGAGAAAAGCAAGTGCAAGCCTCTATAGGCAACTCTGTGAAGAATTAGAGAGAAAGGATCTACAGCAGAAAAAGATGTTTAGTGCATAAGTAGTGTAGATTAAGAAAACAAACAAACAAACAAAAAAGGAATAATCCCAGTGGCTTGGGAGGCTGAGGCAGGAGGATCGCAAATTCAAAGTCAGCCTCAGCAACCTAATAAGGCCATAGCAATTTATCAAGACCCTGTCTCTAAATAAAAAATAAGGGCTGAGGATGTAGCTCAGGGGTCAAGTGCCCCTGGAGTCAATCCCTGGTACCCCTCCCCCCCAAAAAAAAGAGTGGAATCGGAAAATATTTTCTTTAAAATAATGGACAAGAAAAAAATATGTGAAGATATTTAAATGACTAGGAGACATTTCCAGGAGTGAAAGAAAAGTTGGACGTGTGTTTTTTTTTTTCCAGAGAAGGAGATTCTGACTACTGGAGACATGAATCTACAGTTTGATAAGAAGAAAATTTTGAGAGACTCATCCACAGCAATACACATTTTGGTAAAGTTGCGTGTCTACGTAGTTAGAGCAAGAGTAGATTTTTAAATGTTCTCATCAGAAAAAGGGATAAGTATGTGCGCTATAGGTTTATTAATTAGTTTGATTTAATCATTTTGTGATTATACGTATATTAAAAATCATATTCTACAACATAAATGTATGCAATTTTTTATGTATCAACTAAAATAATAGTAAAAAGTGAAAAAAAAATGAGTCTTTGGCATTTTGGTGGGGAGGAAAAACTTGAGCCACCTGACAGTGGGGAGGAAGGTTAGGCTGGCCTCAGGGTCTTCCTGGGAACATTCCATGTTAAGAATGATGGAGTTTTTTTGTTTTGTTTTGTTTTTTTATTGGTTGTTCAAAACATTACAAAGCTCTTGACATATCATATTTCATACATTAGATTCAAGTTGGTTATGAACTCCCAATTGTACCCCAAATACAGATTGCAGAATCACATCGGTTACACATCCACATTTTTACATAATGCCCTATTAGTGACTGTTGTATTCTGCTACCTTTCCTATCCTCTACTATCCCCCCTCCCCTCCCCTCCCATCCTCTCTCTCTACCCCATCTACTGTAATTCATTTCTCTCCTTGTTTATTTTCCCATTCCCCTCACAACCTCTTATATGTAATTTTGTATAACAATGAGGGTCTCCCTCCATTACCATGCAATTTCCCTTTTCTCTCCCTTTCCCTCCCACCTCATGTATCTGTTTAATGTTAATCTTTTCTTCCTGCTCTTCCTCCCTGCTCTGTTCTTAGTTGCTCTCATTATATCAAAGAAGACATTTGGTATTTGTTTTTTAGGGATTGGCTAGCTTCACTAAGCATAATCTGCTCTAGTGCCATCCATTTCCCTGCAAATTCCATGACTTTGTCATTTTTTAGTGCTGCGTAATACTCCATGGTGTATAAATGCCACATTTTTTTTTTTATCCATTCATCTATTGAAGGGCATCTGGGTTGGTTCCACAGTCTAGCTTTGTGAATTGTGCTGCTATGAACATCGATGTAGCATTGTCCCAGTAGTACGCAAAAAAAAAAAAAAAGAATGATGGAGTGTTTGTCCACAGAGCCCTGGGGAAGGACGGGGAAGGACGAGCAACTCCAGCACCTTCTCCCCAGCTACAGTTTTCAGACATAAGGGCAGCTCACCAACATTTCTGGGTAATCCAGGGTGCAAGGACGATGACTTCTGTGAGTACTTTTTAAACAACTATAGAACAAACTTTAGCCAAATTAAAGCCCTATGGAAAAGTTACAGTATGACTGTGGCTCCAACTTGTAGGATTAATGCAAAAACAGGTCTTGTTTTATGGTTGAGGAGGGGAAATAAAAGCTATAAACACAAATGATGTAGCTATCCCAAGTTAGGAGGGTGAGGTGGGGGGAAGGCATGGGGGGGTCTCAACAGTTAAAGACCGAAGCACAAGACATGATTCAAATCTGGTTTAACAATAAATAGAGGTCAGATGTATTTAAAGAAAAAAAAAAAAGGAGTGAAGGAAAAGTTGGATGTGTGTTTTTTTCCAGAGAAGGAGATACTGACTACTGAGAACAAAATAAACAAAAATCAGCAATGGAGAGTGGAATAAAAGAGAAATATACTGCCAGTTGCACACCTGTAATCCCAGTGACTAAGTCCAAAGCCAGCTGCAGCACTTTAGCAACACCCTGTCTCAAAGTAAAAATAAAAAGGACTGGGGATGTAGCTCAATGGGAAAGCACCTCTGGGTTCAATCCCCAGGACCAAAAAAAAAAAAAAAAAAGGAAATGTATTTAATTTTATTATTACTCATAATGGGAGTAAAAAGTACTCCTATTACAAAGTAGATGATTAGGTAAATTACATAAGCTTAGAGTATAAAGTATTTTATAACTGCCTTTAAAATGAAGAACTAGGTGTCTGAGAGAGAAGAGAGAGGCCTGTTTTTCACTGCATTCTCTTCTGTACCTTTTGAGTTTGTGCCATGTTTGTACGATAGCTATTAAAAAACCAGAAGAAAAGACAAATACAAACTAACAAGAAAGATAAAATTATGGTAATTAATATAATCATGACTAGAATAAAAACATCATGTTTTTCAATTCTTATATAATACACACCAAAAATGTAAAGAAATTTAAAAAAAATTCTGTTTGAGGTTCTGGGATTTGAACCCAGGGACTTCTTATGTGTGCTGGGCAAGTGTCCACCACTGAGCCACATCCCCAGCCCCCACCAGTGTTTTTAAGGCCATGAAAATGTTGAGAATAGAGCAAAACAGGATGATAGAACTGAGACCAAATGTACCTCCCATGTTAATAAATGTAGGTGTGTTAATTTCACTTGTAACAATAAAAGACTTTGAATTACAACGTAAAACCTAACTCTGTTGTTCATAAGAAACACGTCTAAAACAGAAAAGTAGGGAATTCACACTTGGCAATGGCATCAAGCTAGGATTAACCAGTGCAAGGCTACATCCAAGTAGTAAAAGGTAAGTGCTACCATTTGTGCAAAAAGGTTTGAAGGCAATAGCTGTATAAATGCTTCAGATGCATAGCCACCTGTTAACAGTTTGGTATTTGTACCAAGTACACATGTTACACACCTTAAAGTACAAGCAAATAATTTAATAGAAAAAGGATAATGTTGGCAGTAGAGTGGACCATGGGTTTGAGGGTACAGATGATACAAGAGACAGGAAGACTAGGTAGAGTCATCCCTTGTGTTCAAGAAGTATTGGTTCCAGAACCCCCCATGGATACCCAATCTGAATACCTCAATTTCTTATATAAAATGGCATATAGTCTGCATGTAGCATAGGTACATTGATTGTACTTTAAATCATCTCTGGATTACTAATCTAATAATACCCAATGCAATGTAAATAGGTGTTATTCTGTATTGTTTAGGGAATAATGGCAAGAAGAAAAGTTCATACATGTTTAGTACAGATGCATTTTTTGTCCCAAATATTTTTCATTCAGGGTTGTTTGAACATGTGGATGCAAAACCAGTGGATATTGAGGACTGAGTGTATCCCATTGCATAAATTTTAAAAGAATCTGAGCTACAACACGGCAGGTAGTAGTAAGAATTGGGTCTTTCCCCAAGAAACTGTTAGAAGTAATAATATGCTATTGTCTTATTTTAAACTTCATCTTGTATTTTTCGGTTGAGACAAAGAAGTATATTACAAAATCTTAAGAATCACAGCCTTATGTTTCAAAAAAACAAGTATTCTTTTGTTTTACCATTGTTAGGTAAACATATTCATAGTAGAAAACCTGAAAAACATACAAAAGAAAAAAAAAGTGTTAGATTTCTGTTACTGTAACAAAATGCCTGAATAATCAATTAATAAGGAGGAAAGGTTTGTTTTGGCTCATAATGTTAGACATTTCCGCCTATGACTGGCCCTATGGTCAATTGCTTTGGTCCTGTGGTAGCAGATACATCATGGTGGGAGTATATAGTGGAGGACTCCCCACATGACCAAGTGAGGAAGAAGAAAGGGCCTCGGTGCCCTTTCCTTCAAAGGCATTCCCACAATGACTCTAGGCCCTGCTTCTCAAGTGTTCCACCATCTCCCAGCAGCACCACAGGCTGGGGACAGGACTTTAACATGCAACTTTGGAGTCACTTATCCAAATCATCACAGAAAAAGAAGTATTTCTTTAATTCTAATATTCTAGGTTAGTAGCCAAGGATAGAATTCTGTCTAGATTCCTCCGTTCTGTTCTCCCCCCATATACACAGTCACGTTTTTTGAATCATATTATACACATAATTTTTACCTTTTAAGAAGTTTGTTTGTATGTTTCCCATGTTATTGCAAAATTCTCTTACACTGTGATCACTTAATGATCACACATCACAGTTCTTTATTATTGGATAATTAGTTTCTAATTCTTCACTTATAAATAGCAATTACAATGAATTAGCTTTGTGAATATAAATATAGCCACATTTCTGGTTATTTCCTTATTACATGGTTCTGGAAATAGAATTGCTGGTACAAAGGGTATACATATTTTTAAGAATTTGATACTTACTCCAAATTGCCTTCCAAAAAGTCTGTACTGATGTTATAGCTCTGGCACTAAAGCCGTAGTTATGAAAGTAGATAATTATAAAGACCCACTTCTTGTTTTCGGAAATCCCCCTTCATGGTATTACTGTATTTTTTCATCCTTATAAATTTGCATGGCGATAAAAGATGCTTCATTGTTATTTATATTTGGATCTCTTCAATTAGGATAGAGCTGGAATTCTTCTGTACATCCCCCCCCCCCCACCCTTTGGTCATTTGTCATTCCTGCTTTGTTAATTACTGTTCATTCTCTGGCTGTTTTTCTTTGCTCCATCATATTGTGAAGGCAGATATTTCAGTACTGAATGCCAGTGAACCTTCAAGTTTCAGGAAGTACCTAGATTGTATTTCATTTCAGTCTCAACTTTGGAAGTGTGCTGAAGGAAAACTGCCCAAGCTTGCCATTCAATTTTCTTTCCTTAAAGAGATTCTGAAAATAACAAAAACCAGATTTGGTTCCCTTCAGTATCCATGGGCCTCACAGGGAAATTCTCTCATCCAGGGAAGGGAGAGCGATTACAGGGAGTGTGGCCTGCTCGGCGTCCTTCTCCTGGGGCCCTCTTTGCACAATTTCTGCTCTGAGAGTGGGGGTCAGGCTGTCCTGGTGATCGAATCCTGGCGCCCAATGTAGAGCAGCTCTCATCCTCCCCCGTGGTGCTGGAGTAGATGAGAGCCTGAGTACCTTCCTTTTTAAGGATGCAGAAAACGTAGACTGCTGGCTTGGGTTTAGTGCAAGCGTCGATGCACAGCCAGAAGTGATTTTCAGAGTGAGGAGCTAACCACAGCTCATTGAAGGGACTCAGTTCTTTGTATCTCTTGTTCTTCTTACTGTATGATTCAATTTGCTTGCAGGTGTTTGACAAATTATTGATAAATGCAGGTTGATAATAAGTATCATTGCCATTTGATAATTCTCATTAAAATGTGCATTAGTCAGCTTTCTGTCACTGTGACAGATACCTGAGAAGAACAACTTAGAAGAGGAAAGATCCACTTAGGCTCACAGTTCCAGAGGTTCCAGTCCACGGTTGGACAACGCCATGGCTTTGGTCCTGAGGAGAGGCAGAATATCATGGTGGAGGGGTGTGCAGAGCAAAGCTGCTCAACTCATAGCAGCCAGAAAAAAAGGGACTTTGGACAAGAAACACCCTTCCAGGGTACCCCCCCACCCCCCAGGGGACCTACTTCCTCCAACTTGGCCCCACTCCCCCAGCCTCCCCCACCTCCACTCAGCTGTCGATGGGTTCATCCACTGATGAGTCAGACCAGTCCAGGCCCTCCCCGAAGCCCTACCTCTGAACCTCTGAACACTGCTGCAGTGGGGACCCAGCCTTCAGCACACAAGTCTTTTTTTTTTTTTTTTTTTTGAGAGAGAGAGAGAGAGGGAGAGAATTTTTTTTAATATTTATTATTTAGTTTTCGATGGACACAACATCTTCGTTTGTATGTGGTGCTGAGGATCGAACCCGGGCCGCACGCATGCCAGGCGAGAGCGCTACCGCTTGAGCCACATCCCCAGCCCAGCACACGAGTCTTCCAGAGACACTTCATGGATAAGCCATAACATAACGTTGTAGGGATTCCTCATTATTCTTCTCACTTTACCGACAGGGAAAGGGTGGCCCAAGACGTGTCCAAGCTCATACAGTGAGCAAGCAGCAGAGCCAGATCCAGACCAAGCCTGGGACTTCAAACCCATGCTGTCTTTCAAGACTATGACCATGTCAGGTGACCTTCTTGTCCTCTTTAAACTTTTGTTAAATTCCGCAGGTGGTTGTTATGTGTGTTCCAAAGTCTGGGTTAACCTTACCCATGAGCCTTACCCTCTGTGGGTGTCACGGTTGTCTCTCCAGAACCTATTCCTCTCCTTTGAGTGGCCTGAGTACAATTTGGGAGGCCTGATTGGGCCTCATGGGTGTAAGAATACTTTAACCTCTTGACCAGTGCTTTGGTTCTTGAACAGGTGAGTGACCCAACTGTGGCCAAGAGGGTGTTCTGGAGACTTCTAGGGAAGCCTCCTGTCTGTGCCTTAGGGAGTAACGGAAGCTCCGCACTCTCTCTAGTTGGGCAGCAGCAAGGAGGTCCGTTGCTCCAATGCTGTGAGCAGCCACTTGGGGTAAATGAGAAGCTGGCGTAAAATGGAATCTGCCCATAAGGGGTCAAAACAGGGAGAGAGCAGAAATGGGTCTGGAATCTCTTGTTATTAGGATTTACAAAATTCCTTATCATCCCACCCATTTTTTTTTTTCCCATTGGATTTTGATTACTTGCAGGGCAGAGTATCTAAGAAATCAAACTTCCAAGGCATTCAGTTTGCCCAGAATGCAGTTACATAGCTCCTGTGTTCACTGCTTTTGTTTTGGATTTTTTTTTAAGTGCAATATAATTTTCACATAACAAAATGCTCAGATTTTAAATATTCAGTTGGATGTGTTTTGACAATTGTTGACTTTGTACCCAAACCAAAAGCAAAACGCAAGACATTTCTATTACCCTACACATGGCCCTCTGGCCCCTTTCTAGCTGACCCCTCAGCCCTGACCCAGGCTTTCTGATTTCCATCAACAGTTTAATTCGACTTGTTTCTCAACTGTACGTAAATGAAATAATATGAAAATAACACAATGGGAATTCTTTTCTAGCTGATTCCTTTGGCTCAGTAAACTGTTTCTGAGATCCATCTATGTGTGTATCAATTCATTCTTTTCATTGTGGAATAGTATTTCATTGTATCAATATATCATTTCTTTGACCTTTTCATCTTGTGGGGATTTAGAACAATTTCAAGACCTACCGTAGAGACTGAGGTTGTAGACCAGGGGAGTAGCTCTGTGGTTGGGTAAGTGTTCAGCATGCAAGAGGCCTTGGGGTCAACCCGCAGCTCCAAAAAAAAAAAAAACTAACAAACAAAATGACTAAGGCTACTGTGAACCTTCTTGTATATGTGTTTTTGTGGATCTGTTTTTCTTGGGAAAATTCCTAGGAGCGAAAATACTGGGCATTACATTTACTTTGAAGTTCTAAATAGAAGCCCTTGGATTCTGGATGATTGAGTTAAGAAACCAGTGGGGCAATTACTGAGCTCAGAAACTTCACAAGATCACAGTGGAATTTCAAACTCACCCTCTATTATTTTTTTTTAATGTGGTGCTGGGAATTGAACCCAGGGCTTGGTGCATAACTTATAAGCACAGACTGTACCACTGAGCAACATCCCCAGCCTATTTTTTTGAGGGGGTGTGTGGGGAGGAGGGATATTAATCATTACCAAAATATCAGAGCATGTCATCAGTGTGTGCCCAGTATGCACTCTAGACACTTGGCCTCATACATGACCTCCTCAGCTCTTACTTAGTAGCCTTTTGACCTTGGGCAAATTATTAACCTCTCAGATCCTCAGTTCCCTATCTATAACATAAGGATTAAAAATAACATTGACTTCATAGGGTTTTTGTGAGAAATTAAGTGAAGTAATGCATATAAGGCCTTTATCAAATTATCTGATACAAACTGGGCACGGTGGAGCAGGCCTGTAATCCCACCAACTCAGGAGTCTGAGACAGGAGGCTCTCGAGTTCAAAGCCAGCCTCAGCAACTTAATGGGGCCCTAGGCAACTTAGTAAGACCCTGTTTCAAAATAAAAAATAAAAAGGCTTAGTGGGTCAGTGCATCTGGGTTCAATCCCCATTAAAGTCTGATACATAAAATAGCTAAAAATTATTAAACCATTATGATTCTCATAATGTAGCCTCTTACAACAACCTCGTAAAAATTAATTCCCCATTTTCAGCAGCAATAAGCGATTTGTCCTAGTTACAGAATCAAGAGTGTGATTCAAATTTTAGGTCTATTTTGGCACCAAAGCCTGAGCCAGTTCTACTATACTGTTCCAGAGAGAGATTTTTTCCCCCCCAGATTACATCGTTCAACCTTTATAGGACTCCTTTAGGGTGATTTCTGTGAATATGGAAAGAACAAAAGGCTCGAAGAAAAGAAAGTGAACAACTAGACAAACAGTGGCCTGAGACACAGTCGCGGAGACACTTGAGGATGGGGAACCACAGACACCCAGAGAACTTCCCAGGCTTTCCGGGGCTTCCTGGGGTTGTTCTGTAGAAAAAGACCGGAAGGAAGAGGCCTGGTACTTTTGTTTTTGCTTTTTAAGGATTTCCCTGCCTACCCTAGTTCTTCCTCTCTTCTTTCTCTGGGGTGATTGGTTCGCTGTTGGCATGGGGCGGATTGCAGATGGAGCACTCAAATGAGCTGAGGAGGGTGACTTGAGTTTAATAAAGGGATGATCATGAACGTGTGAGGGGAAGAAGAGGGCAGAGAACACAGTGTGGAGAGGCCATTCCCCCAGCACCTGAGGAGACCAGGGCAGGCGTGGCGCCTGCTTCACAGAGGGGAGGTATGCCCCATGGTGGTTGTGCTGTTTGGTGCAGGGACACAAGACACCTGTGGAGACCTGCAGGGTGGAAGGCAGGAAATAAATACCCTGACTTTCCTGGGTCTGTCCCTGATTTGTGAAGGAGGGCGGGGGGAAGTCGGGGGACAAACAGGCAGCCATCCACGGGGGGGGGGGGGGGGGCTGTGCAAAGGCTGCACACTCTGCTCCTGACCTTCAGGGAGACATTTTCATCCACATCCTGCCCTTGTGGGAATAGATCAGAGTTCAAATAACTTCCCCAAGGGAAGGAGCTGGTGTCGGTCAGTGGTTCTTAATCCTGGCTGAAGACTGGGGTCACCTGGGGATGGCTTTCAACAATGCTGGAATCTGAGCCTCACCCTGAGATGCCAGTGTGATCCTCTGGCTTGGGGCCCAGGCAGTGTATTAAAAGCTCCCCAAGTGATTCTGATTCATGAGGTTTCCATGCTGTATTTATTGCCATCCGAGCCACTAAGGGCCACAGGGCCCGTGACAAAGAAGTTACTGATCTGAGGGAACCTACTGTCTGATGTGAAGCAAACCACCACAGTGCCACAGACCAGGGGGGACGTCCAGAGATGCTGAAGGCAGTCTGGACAAGTGAGAGGAGCATCCTCTGGGGAGATGAAAGGTCTGCTGAGCTGTGACAGTAGCAATGCTAACACAGGTAGCATAGCTTTCCCAGTGCCAATCATCGCTCCTTGTTTATTAGTATTAGCTAATTTAACTCTTATCACCACTGTAACATTCACAGCCCGTTTGTGCTAGGGCAGCAGGACAGGCTGCTAAGAGACCAAAGAAGATGGGAAGTGAGACATCGGGTTGTTGGACTTTGTTGAACAATGCTGGCAGGGAGGGTAACGGGTGGGGCACCTCTGTCCCCTGCAGTGCTTTGTCAAGTAATGTCTCTGTCCCTGGTGACATGACTCCAGAAAACTGCCTCTGTTGACTCTTTTTCCAGTGGCATCCGGCTGGACGAGTGACACCTGCCCTCTCTGTGTCCTCAGTTTGGTGCCAGTCACCACAGGGAGGTGGGTTTTATAAGCTGGGCTACAGATGTAGTGACGTCACCAGACCAGCACTCCAGGAACTTGGTGTGTGCACAAGAGAGCAGCTTTCTCCAGATAACACCAGTTTGTCCTAATTCCCAGCCTGCGGGAGAGAGAGCCCTGTCCTTCAAGATAATGTGTATCTGCACATTCTGGCCCAGACTCACTCTCCTTGTTCCTTAACTTGGCTAGATTGTTTAGGAACAGGGAGGACACTCAGGGACATGGTGTTTCACTGTCTTTTTCTGCAAGGATGATACAACCACCTTATGGAAGGTATAATTATTAATAATTTATTTATAACGAATCAACCATCATTAATGATCATTTTATTAATTTATTATTAACTTCATTTTACAGAGGCAGGATGTTTGAGTGTCTTGCTCAAAGGCCCCCAGAGGTAGAGGTGGGCGTGAACCCACGCAGTTCAACTTGGGGGCCCACCTGGGTCAAAGCTACGTGATGTGGCCAAGTGAGGCAGGGGTCACGGGAGAAGAGGGAAGGTGAAGGTGGGGAGCCACCGACAGAAGACACCATCCGGAGGGACCTGCCTGAGTGTCCCTGCCAGAGCCGCTGCTGCTCTCCCGGGGAGGGGCCGCGTGCTGTTTTATCGTAAAGCCCCATGAGTGCCTTGGGCCTGTTAGAATTAGTCCAGAGGGAAATGGAGGCAGGTAGGGCCCCTGGGGGATGAGGAAGGAGAGAGAGGTTCCGGCTGGATTGAAAGAGAGGCAGGTCGAACCGCTGCAGAAGCAGAAACGCTTTACACCCAAGTGCTTTCCAGCTGTGGAGCGCAGGGTCAGGCCCCGCGGGTTGTTCAGGATAAAGCTCCCACTGTGTGGAGCAGTCACCGTGTGGGACGAGCCGGGAGTTGCAGTCCTTCCTAAAAAGCAGGAAGGCGGCTATCTAGCCATGGCCTCAGGTGGGAGTCTGGGAAAAAAAGATTCAGGACATTTAGAGAAGCAGGTTCAATGGCTGGGTGTACCGTGATAACCCTGTTTCCCCTTGGTCAGAAAAGGAATGAGATAAACGCGTTCTTCCTCAAAAGGGCCAGAGCCCCGGAAGCTGAAGGGCTGGGGCTGAGGAGTGGTGGCCTGAGCGTGGGTGACCCTCCAGGACTGGGACTGAGCCCCAGGATGGGGGAACAGGGGCTCCGGGGAGGGGATTGGGTGCCAGGGCTCTGCTTCGAGGAGGCCCGCTTACTAGAGGGCTTGAGGGAGTGAGTCTCCTTCCCCCTTGGCCTTGTGAAAGGCCCATCTGTCAGGCACACAGCCCTCACGGCTCCCTGAGTCTCCTTTCACCTTGAGCTTGGACTCTCGGCCTCTCCAACCGTGAATCATAAATTTCTGTTGTTTACAAACTACCCAGTGTGACTTGCTTTGTTATAGCAGCCTGAAGGGACTGAGACAGATGGCATGGCAGGATCCTTTCCTGGAGGGAATGAACCTGCTGGCATATTTTGAGTGGGGTTCTGTGCAGAAATCCCGTGGGCAGCCAAGGCTGGCAGCAGCCAGGGCTCCACTCTTCACAGGGTGGGCTGCCTGGAGACCCTGGCATCCATCTGACATCTAGAGCTACCCACTGCCAGAGGACGTGGGCAGCAGCCCAGGGAGGCTCCAGCAAGGAGGCAAAAGCTCTGGACCAAGGCCAGCCCTGTCCTGATTTTCTGGCACCAGAATTCTTACATAATTTTGTAAAAAGTGGGAGACATCCTCTCCCACACTGAGGGGTGGGCAGGATTGCCCTGGCTTAGAAAAAGTGGATTTACCTGACTTGGAAAAGGAGAGAAATGTGAAGTTTCCCTGAATTGAATTCTGAGCAGTAAAAGTCGTTGCCGAAAGCTCGGTTCTTGTCCCCGATGTCAATCTAATAATGAGGACACGGTTTTGAGAAGAAGGAAAAAGAAGATTTGTTGGTTTTCTAGCAAAGGAGAAACACAGGGGGCCCCTCCCCCAAAGGCTGTGATTCTGCCCATGAGCGGGAACAGGGGGCTTTTAAAAAGGTGGCTCAAGGGCTCCAGTCCCGTGTTCTCTGTTGGAGTTGCAGTTTGCTTGTTGATTTGGGAGACGGTCATTTCTGAGATCTTCTGGTGCCATCCCCAAAGTCTAGATTACTTAGTTCCTATGGTGGGTGTGGACTCAGGGACAGATAACTGGGCCTTGGATGGGGAAGAAAGATAACTCTGTTTCCCCTGAGATTAGAGGAAGAGAAAGAAACATGGCCATTTAAAAAGTAAGTTGCAATAGCAGCAAGTGTTATCTTCAAAGCATAAAATGGACCACTGTTACAAAGTCTCAGAGGAGGTGAACATTTCTTCTCCTCCTCCCTCATCTCCTCCTCCCTTTCTTCCTTCCCCCACCTTCTCTTCCTCCCTCTCCTCTTTACTGGTGGGAACCGAGGGCTGGGATGATGCAGAGTCGTTTGCTAGTGGAAGTTGAAATCTTAGCATAAAACATTTAGCATCTGGTAGAAACGTGACTGAGGTAAGCTCAAGGAATGTGAGGTCATATTTGTAAATCAATTTAAGTAAATTTAGAGTTTTGGGAAAACACATTTGGAGGAAGAAATGGAAATGGCTGACCGTCCCTTCCAGGTGCACGCCCTCCCCTCGGGTGCTACTGGATTACAACTGGTGCTGGGGTTGAGGTGGACGTGGAGTTCAATCTGCTCATTTCTTTCTCCACATCCTATGAGTGGGTGTTCCTAGGGCCTTCCAGCTGAATGGACTCAGCGGATTAAAAGCTCACATCTGTTCATGAGGTTGAACTTTCTCAGCCCACAGGATCCCTTGGGTCTCATGCGGGGAGGGAGAGGTTTTATTCTTTTAAATGGACTGACTAGATGTAGGTTTTAGGACCCTGTGAACAGAGCTCTCCACATAAAACTATGGAGTGCTATTGACCCTGGTGCTGAGGATGGAGCCCCAGGCTCTGCTGGAAAGTGCTGAGAAGAGGGGTGTTATGGTTTGGAGGTGAGGTGTCCTCGAAAGCTCATGTGTGAGACAATGCAAGAAGGTTCAGAGGAGAAATGATTGGGTTGTGAGAGTCTTACCCCAATCAGTGAGTTAGTCTCCTGATGGGGATTAACCCAGTGGTAACTGAAGTGGTGGGGTGTGGTTGGAGGAGGTGGGAATTGGGGGCATGGCTTTAGGGTATACATTTCTATCTGATGAGTGGAGTCTCTCTCTGCTTCCTGATCACCATGTGGACTGCTTCCCTCTGCCACACTCTTCCACCATGATGTTCTGCCTCACCTCGAGCTCCGAGGAGAGGAGCCAGCTGTCTATGGACTGAGACCTCTGAAACTGTGAGCCTTTAAATAAACCGTGAGCCCTTTACCTCTTCTACAGTTGTTCTGGTCGGGTCCTTTAGTCACAGAACCAGGGGGCTGCCGAGGACGCCAGGCCTCATGTGAATTATGAGAGGACTGTTACCCACAAGAGTGGAAAAACACTTTAATTTTCTTCTTGAGTCTTAAACAGAGAACGGATATTATCTCCTCCAGGGAGAATAATCTCATATGGCCATACATTTGCAAAAAAAAACTTTCCTTATAGCTGAGCTATTTCCTACATGGATAGAAAGTTGGAAAGAATAATATAAAAAGCACTAGTTTTTTTTCCACCTAGGATCAACAGAGGATACTTCTGTCATTTGGTTTTTGTAGTAAGTAAAATACTACAGTAAGCTTTGTGACACTTAACCCAAATGGGTGTTGCCTTCAATTTCTATAAATGATGTCACATAATACATAATGACTTACAGTTTGGTTTATCTGCTCCACATTGTTTTTCAAACATATCCATGTTCTCATATATATTTATTTTGGTGTGTGTGTGGGGGGGATAATTGGGAATTGAATGGTGTGTTTGTGTGTGGGAGGGGGGGGGACTTTATCACTGAGCCACATCCCCAGCCCTTTTTACTTTTTATTTTGTGACAGAGTCTCACTAAGTTGCTGAGCCTTTGCTAAGTTGCTGAGACTG